TGCTAATGGTAGTGCATTGTGTGTGTATGTATGTATAGTAGTGTATTGTGTGTGTATGTATAGTAGTGTATTGTGTGTGTATGTATAGTAGTGTATTGTGTGTATGTATAGTAGTGTATAGTGGTGTAGTGTACTGTAGTGTATAGTGTAGTGTATTGTAGTGTATAGTGTAGTGTATTGTAGTGTGTATGTATAGTAGTGTATAGTTGCGGGTAGTTTGTGATAAACGACCTCAGGGCATGACGACCCTGCCTTACGCGAGTCCCAGGCACAGCTGGCCCGGCTGTCAGTACCTGCTAAGGGCGGTTTTTTCACTGCCTTGTGAGTGTCTCGGGAGAGTCAACGGCTAAGGGAGTGAACCCCGACGGAAACTCAGGAGTGGGGCCCCTCAGGCGGTTTTGTGATGCACTGCGGCACATTCCCGGCAGCCCCTGCAGCCAAACTGGTACCAAACGTCGTGCGTGGCACTCCTTTGGACATCACCGGCAAGGCCGAGGAGGGGATCCTGACGCATGGGCAACCCAGGATTTCCAGAAAAACCTGCCCGGGCTTTGCGCTAACAAGAGGTGCAAAAATGGGGAGAGGACACTCCTCGGCCACCTAATCGTGGCCAAGAAACACGGATGGCAGCAGTCACGGGTTATGAGCTCATTTTAGATTGGCGTAAAAAATGGGCGCCACGGGTTGCCATCGTCGGTGGGAGGGGTCATTGAACCCCAATGGATAGCTACCGCCACCTGCCTCAAGCTGGGCAGCCCCCGGCCATAAGGTGATTTCCCACCACGGCTCACCTGCTCCAATGGGTGCTTGGAGCTTATGGTTCATCACCAGACAAGTGGGCTGCAAAACCTGCACCAGACAAAAGCAAAACAAAACGAAAGAACGTTCCAGCCCTTCATTTTGCAAGCTGGAATCTACGCACAATGTGTTCTGGACTCACCGAAGATCTATTGCAGATTGAGGACATCCGCAAGACCGCAGTTATCGACAGGGAGTTGGCGAGACTCCATGTCGATATTCCAGCACTGCAGGAGACCCGGCTTGCTGGCAGTGGCTGACTACGAGAGAGTTACTACACTTTCTACTGGCAAGGAAAACACAAGAACGAACCAAGGCAACACGGTGTTGGGTTCGCCGTCAAAACACACACTCCTTGGCATGATAGAACCACCGACTGCAGACTCCGAGCGGATTCTGCTCATGAGATTGCTCACTACTTCTGACCATGTAAACATCCTGAGTGTATACGCCCCAACACTCTACTCACCTCCGAAAATTCATGACCAATTCTATGAAGAGCTTCACAATATTATTCGCAAAATCCCCAGCTCTGAGCATATGTTTCTGTTGGGAGACTTCAATGCAAGGGTTGGGGCTGACCACGACGTGTGGCCCGCATGCCTTGGCTATCATGGCATTGGAAAGATGAATGCCAGTGGCCAAAGACTACTGGGGCTTTGTTCATACCACAATCTCTGTATCACAAACTCATTCTTTCTCACAAAACCATGCCATAACGTATCATGGAGACGTCCAAGGTCTCTTAATTGGCACCAATTGGACCTTGTCATCACCCAACGAGCCCTCCTCAACTCGGTGCTCATCACACGCAGCTACCACAGTGCAGTCTGTGACACCGCTCACTCGCTGGTATCCAGCAAGGTCAGACTACGCCCCAAAAAGATACACGGACTCAAACAAAAGCGCTACCTACGCATCAACTCTGCCAAGGCATCCCTCCCAGAGCTCACTCAATTATTCCAACACAACCTTGAGCAGTCCCTACACGACACACCAGATGGAAGCGTGGAGACAAAGTGGGCATACATCAGAGACGCCATCTTTAATGCAGCCATCAATACCTTCGGCAAGCAGACAAGGCGGAACACAGGCTGGTTTTAGGAACACCTGGCTATATTGGAACCCATCCTCCAAGCCAAACGCATGGCGCTCCTGAATAACAAGCAAGTCCCAAGTACAGAATCATTAAGGGCTCTGAAAGCTGCCCGCAGTGCAGCTCAAACGACCGCCAGACGCTGCGCCAACAACTACTGGGTGAACCTCAGTAGTTGGATCCAACTCGCCAAAAACACTGGCAATATCCGTGCCATGTATGAAGGCATCAAGACAGCCTTTGGTCCAAACATCAGGAGGACTGCCCCCTTTAAATCCAGCACAGGGGCCATCATCACTGATAAACAAGAGCAAATTGCCAGGTGGGTAGAACACTACTCAGAGCTCTACTCACGAGACAACGGTGTGTCAGAAGCTGCCCTTGCTGCTGTAAAGCCCCTACCAACAATACACGAACTGGACAATGTTCCAACCTTGAAGGAACTTGATAACGCCATAAACTCACTAGCCAGCGGCAAGTCACCGGGACAGGACGGCATCACACCTGAGGTACTGAAATGTGCAAAACCCGCCGTCCTCAAAAAACTCCATGAACTTCTCTGCCAGTGCTGGGAAGAAGGAGCAGTGCCTCAAGACATGAGAGACTCCAACATCATCACCCTATATAAAAACAAGGGTGACCGTGGGGACTGCAATAACTACCGCGGCATCTCCCTGCTGAGCATTGTGGGGAAAACCTTTGTCCCCTTGTGGCCCTCAGCAGGTTACAGATACTAGCTGAGAGGACGTATCCTGAGGCTCAGTGTGGCTTCAGAGCAGGAAGGTCTACAATTGACATGCTCTTCTCCTTGCATCAGCTACAGGAGAAATGTCGAGAACAGAGAATGCTCTTGTACTTGGCATTCATTGATCTTACAAAAGCTTTTGACCTCATCAGTAGGGGATGCCTCTTCAAACTCCTCAAAGTGATCGGCTGTCCACCGAAGCTGCTGGCAGTAATCTCCTCTTTCCACGACAACACGAAAGGAACAATACAGCACAGCGGCACCACCTCAGAGGAAATTCCCATACTCAGCGCTGTAAAGCAGGGCTGCGTGCTTGCCCCAACACTATTTGGCATCTTTTTCTCACTTATGCTCACACATGCCTTTGGGACAGCAGAAGAGGGGGAGTCTTTCTCCATACAAGATCTGATGGCAAACTCTTCAACCTTGGCCGTCTCAGATCCAAAACCAAAGTCCGCAAAGTCCTCATCAGAGAACTCCTATTCGCTGATGATGCTGCGCTGACAGCTCACACAGAACAAGGTTTGCAGACACTCATCGACCACCTTGCCAATGCCTGCAACAACTTTGGCCTGACAATCAGTCTGAAAAAGACCAATGTCACGGGCCAGGATGTCAGAGACACCTCTTCCATAAACATTGGCAGCTACACCCTGGAAGTCGTTCAGGACTTCACCTACTTGGGTTCTACCATCACCTACAATTTGTCCCTTGTCACAGAGATTGACAAGCGCATTGGGAAGGCGTCAACAGCTATGTTCAGGTTGACTAAAAGAGTGTGGGAGAATACATCCCTAACGCTCAACACCAAAGTACAAGTGTACCGGGCCTGCGTCCTTAGCACCCTCCTCTATGGGTCTGAGTCCTGGACAACATACGCCCATCAAGAACATCGACTAAACACATTCCACCTCCGATGTCTCAGGCGCATCCTCGATATCAGATGGCAAGATCGCATTCCCAACACCTCAGTTCTCAACTTGGCCAACATTCCCAGCATGTACTCTCTACTCAGTCATAGGCGCCTGAGATGGCTTGGACACGTGCGCCGCATGCAGGATGGCAGAATACCCAAGGATGTCTTGTACGGCGAGCTGGCATCAGGCACAGGGGTCACTGGTCGCCCGGTCCTGCGCTTCAAAGATGTCTGTAAACGGGACACGAAGAGCTGCGACATCAACCCAAATGACTGGGAGAAAACTGCCGGCGACCGATTCAGCTGGCAGCAGGCTGTGAAGACAGGCCTCAGAAGAGGCGAGGAGAAAAGACACACTGCTTGGCAGACCACGAGGGAGCGACGTAAAGAAAAAAGCAACAAACACCTCTGGAGCTGCCACCGCATTCACTTGCAATTGCTGTGGCAAGGATTGTCACTCAAGGATTGGCCTACTAAGTCGTTCTAGGCGCTGCAAAACCTACAGCTGACCTCGTAAGGCGCAACAAAGAATTGTCTCTCGAGACACAAAGGCCTGTGATGTGTGTGTGAGTTGGGGAGCGGTAGTCTAGCAGTTGCGCTACGAACCTGACGACCCGCGTTCGATTCCCGCTCACGGCCAACACCAGTGACGATTATCTGAACCGGTCATGGGCCTCCCCTAGGTCGACGCAGCCTCAAATGAGTACCTGCTGCGATGTGTAAACATCGCCACGAGGGAGACAAAGGCGGCCGGGCGTGGTGTTGGCGACTCACCCCGTCGTGTGCCATGCCGGCCTTCATAGGTGTTCGCTAACAGCACTTGCCCCTACAGTCTGTTAAGGCTATACGGGGGATCTTTGTCTTTGGTATAGTTTGAATAGTAAGGGGCACAGGTGGTGCTGCATCGGCCAGTCATCTCATTCAGTCGACCTATGCCAAGCTGATGGTTCCGTCCCGTGACCTCCTGCCAGCGGGAGTTCGGCACTTCACGTGGCCTCAAAGTGCACTTAGCCTGGCACAAGCACCGTGGTGACGTCACCGCTACTTCGTGGCGATTAGCGGTGGTTGTTGTATAGTAGTAAAGTAAAATAGTGTGGTGTATAGTGTAGTGTGTGCACAGCATGTCATACCTGTCAACCCCTAATCAGTGCCCCTACCTTATTACAGACCAGTTCAGACCTTATTGGTGACCCCTATAAATCTCAACGTTCATCCTACAAAGCCCCATCACAAGGGAGAAACGCAAACAAATAGACAAACATTATTAATTTATTTTGCCCGTATTGAAACGGCGTTACGCTGTATTTGCCCCCCCCCCTCCACCCCCCACCCCCCCACGCAAACACTCAACGTCCCTGTACATTGTCGAACTTCTTTCGCACCGTACGTGCGGCCAATCGGCAGCTGTGGCTAATCGAGAGTGGGTCCCGCGCGCGTTTCTTCAGCGGCTGCGTTGGCTGGCGCGTCGCCCAACACTCCCCCGCGTCTGCTCAACCCCATCGACCTGGTACGGGCCCAGGCGGGCCGCATGCTCTCGTTCCGCGTGCCTGACGACACCTTCTTCGACGCCGAGGACGGCGACGCTGCCCGGCTGCGTCTCTCGCTCGTGCCGGCCGAGTCGCATCGTCATCATCATCCTCATCATCATCCTCCTCATCAGCAGCATCATCAGCATCATCATCGTCCTCCTCATCATCATCATCATCCTCCGCCGCAGCAACAGCAGCAGCCTCCCTCGTGGTCGTCGCCGTCATCATCGTCGTCATCATCATCGTCATCATTGTCGTCATCATCATCGTCATCATTGTCGTCATCGTCGTGGGTGCGCTTCGACGCCCGGGCGAGGGCCATCGTCGGCGTCCCGCTGGGAGGCGACGCGGCGCGTCCCCCGCAGGAGTTCGTGATGGTGGCGCGCGACGCCGGCGGGCTCGAGACGCGCGACGCGTTCGTCATCGAGGTACGTACGTACGTGTGTGTGTGTACGTGTGTGTGTACGTGTGTGTACGTGTGTGTATACGTGTGTGTACGTGTGTGTGTGTACGTGTGTGTATGTGTACGTGTGTGTACGTGTGTGTGTACGTACGTGTGTGTACGTGTGTGTACGTGTGTGTGTGTGTACGTGTGTGTGTGTACGTGTGTGTGTACGTGTGTGTGTGTACGTGTGTGTGTACGTGTGTGTGTACATGTGGGGAGCGGTAGTGTAGCGGTTAGTGCGCTGCGCTATGGACCTGGCGACCGGGATTCGATTCCCGCTCACGGCCAACACCAGTGACGATTATCTGAACCGATCTCGGGCCTCCCCTAGGTCGACTCAACCTCAAATGAGTACCTGGTGCGGTGTGTAAACATTGCCACTAGGGAGACAAAGGCGGTCGGGCGTGGTCCTGGCCACCCACCCCTTCGTGTACCGTTCCGGCCTTCATAGGTGCTCGCTAACAGCACTTGCCCCTACAGTCTGTTAAGGCTATATGGGGGATCTTTGTCTTTGTGTGTACGTGTGTGTACGTGTGTGTACGTGTACGTCGTTGTGTGTGTGTGTCGAGCTTCTTTCGCACCATACGTAGCCAACCATCCTCATCAGATGTGTATGTATGTGTGTATGTTAAACTTCTTCCGCACCATACCTTGCCAACTGCATTAATTGGAGGTGTATGCATGTGTGTACGTATGTTGAACTTGTTTCGCACCGTACGTAGCCAACCGTGTTCATCGGAGGTGAGCGGCGAGCGGGCCTCCTGCTATTGGTCGCTTGGTTCGTTTTATTTTGCGTGCAGACGTCCTCCCTGCAAATCGCTGCGCTCGCAAGCGTCAAGCGTCTCTTCTCCCCTATAGTTCAGACCAAAAAAAATCACTTATTGGTACCACCCGTGGTGGCAAAGTCGAGTAATGATTTTTTGTACACATATTCTGATGATAACCTTTTTGCGGAGTGGCAGCTTAGTTGTAGTTACCGTGACTTTTCTACCCATACCCGATGAAGACAGGCGTCCAGAACGATGAAATGGGCATTATTATTATTATTGAAAAACTACCTAGACCAAAGCCAGTTACTGTGGGTGCAAAAACAGGTCTCCTGCGAGAAAAAATAAAACAGCTGCTCATTTGGAAATGTTATCGTGCATTATTTTACTCCTGTTGGTGTAACAAATAAAATGGCACCATTGAAGTTTTGCTACCTTGGGTGGTACCGATATCTTGTCTGGCCCAAGGACTACCTACTCGCCCATCCTAAAACATGAAGGGGAGACGACGCTTTTGGTCCGCCTATTTGTTGTTGATATTTTCCACAACGACACTCGTGCTTGTCTCGAGGTAAGAGCGGAAAGATCAGAGGAAAGGCTTTTGCCTTCGATACTCTTATATATATTTATATTTCACGGACATTTTTTTTCATCAGCGCAGTTATTGAAGGGAACGCGTCGCGGTTTTTCCACTTGTCCTTATTCACCAATACCCCAAAAAGACAAAGATCCCCCGTGTAGCCTGCACAGACTGTTGGGGCAAGTGCTGTTAGCGAGCACCTACGAAGGCCGGTTACGGGGAGCGGTAGTACAGCGGTTAGTGCCCTGCGCTACGAACCCGGCGACCCGAGTTCACGCTCACGGCCAACACCGGTGACGATTACTTGAACCGGTCCTGGGCCTCCCCTGGGTAGACTCAGCCTCAAATAAGTAACCTGGTGCGGTGTGTAAACATCGCCACTGGGGAGACAAAGGCGGTCGGGCGTGGTGCTGGCCACCTACCCCCTTGTGTGCCGTCCCGGCCTTCATAGGTGCTCTCTGACAGCACTTGCCCCTACAGTGTGTTAATGCTATATGGGGGATCTTTGTCTTGTCATGAAGGCCGGCACGGCACACGAGGGGTTGCGTAGCCAACACCACGCCCGGCAGCTTTTGTCTTCCCAGTGGTGATATTTGCACACCACACCAGGTACTTATTTGAGGCTGAGTCTAGGGGGAGGCCCAGGAACCAAGTTCAGATATTTGCTGTCACTGGTGTTAACCGTGAGCGGGAATCGAACTCGGGTTCGCCAGGTTCACTCCCGCCACACTGCCGCTCCCTAACAAAACCCAACGCAGTACCACACACACACACGCGCGGGCACACAAAAAGCCCACGTTGTTTTAATCTGGCATGAAACATTCAAACGCATGACCCTCCAGGAGAAGAAGAAGAAGAAACAAACAAGGAATCCGTCTTCAGACTCGGCGAGGCTTTCCTGGGTACACAACGACAGATTATAAATACCTTTACAACTCGACAGCTTAACCCGAACGTCCCGTAGAGCCCGACGCTCCCGGCAAAACAGAACTATAAAAAAATGACAACGCTCATTCGGGCAAGCGTCACGACGGAAGGCGGTGGGTGCGTCGGGCAGCCTTCGAGTTCCCCGGGCCTCCGACTCCCCCGGTGCCAAACACCTTGCAGTGAATGTCAGGCTCATCGGAACGGACGCCGCCAAGAGTCTTTGTTTGACGCTCGTCCATCAGAGGGGTTCGTCGCCAGCGATCGGCCGGCGATGATGGCTGATTTGGCGGCGCGCATGAGCTCCTGTTTTGTGATTGCGACAGAATGCAGTGGCTTAGCGGAGTCAGGCTAACAGAGGGAGGAGGATGCGAGGGGGGGGGAGAGTTGTGGGGGGGCGGGGGATTTATTTCTCATTTTCTTCGGGAAGAAATCCATCCTGAATGAGGGTTAAGGTGGTTCTGTGGCTAACGCGTTGACTTTGACTGTGAGCCATTGGACCAAAGATGCCTTATTTGTCCGCTGGCGGGTTGGCATATTCCATCGTGGATTTTGTCGACGCATTTTATGTCTACACATCATAAATATGCATGCTAGCAAGTTGACCGGCGGTAGTGGGTTTTGTTTATTCTCCCCCTTCTTCTTCTCATGGAAAAATTAAAAGATTCCTAAAGTAGGCTGACATTGGAGCGTGTGCAATAGAGACTATCAGTCTGTATTAAACAGAAGGGTTTTATATGCCAAGCATTCTACTCATGGTGGACACTACATATGGTGCACACTGCTCATGGTGGACACTACCCATGGTGATAACTTCCTATGGTGGATACGAGCCATGGTGAATACCACCATGGGAAGTGGTAGACACTTCCCATGGTGAATACCACCCATGGTGGACACTCCCCATAGTGATTTCTTCCCACACTAAACCATCACAGTAGAGCCCCAGGTTATTTGCCACCGTACTTTTATTCTCATTATATTTCCGCAGAGCTAGAATTGCCGCGATTGGAAGGCATCAAAATGTCAGTGTCGAACCAAAACTTGATGGGACGGCTTCCGCTGTTCAGTCCGCGGTGACTGGGATTAGGTGGTCAATTCGTTGCACCTGAGAAGCCGACTTCATCAGGGGCGGCTGCTCCCATTTGAACCCAGGATGTCGGCCATTACATTGCTGGCCGCGAAGTCAAATTGGAGAAAGGCAAAGTGCTCGGACGAAAAAAAAACACACACGCACGGGGAAACAATAGCTCGAAAAAGAGCACAATTTATAACCTTCTCCTACTTGCTGTGCTTACTTTCTACATGGCACTCATTCTCATTTTAATTCCGATACGTGGAATTTATCCAATTTGAGTGCAGGACATTTTTTTTTCTTTTTTACGCGATGTAATTGTTTTTTTTTTTGTTTGCGTATGGCCGTGACCGAGACTGAAACCATCAACTCGCTCCACTCGGCCAACCCGGGACTCGAACCGAGCCTGTCGGCGGTTCCTCGGCCTTAGCCTCTCCTCTCTAACGCCACCGCCCGTCCTCCCGCTCGCTCGCCCGCTCCTCTCTCTCTCTCCTCTCTCTCCTCTCTCTCTCCGCCCGGTGCGGCCCACCATCTCCGCGCGCCAGGTCCTCCCGGCCCTGCGAGAGACCCCATCGCACGTCTTCTGGCTGACGCTGCGCGAGCCGCACGCCGCCTTCGCCGCAAACCGCAGCCTCGCCGCCGCGCTCCTCTCCAAGGTGGCGTCGTTCTTCGGCGACCGCGACGCCCGCAACGTCGCGCTGCTCTCCCTCGCGCCGGCGCCCGCCGACGCCGTCGAGGACGAGCGCGGCCGCGGCGGCCGCGGCCGCCACCGCGGCCGCGGCCGCCACGGCGGCGTCGGCGGGCCCGCCGAGAGCACGCGCGTCGCTTGGTTCAACGTGTCGCTGGCGCACGGACTCCGGTGCCGGTGGGGCGCCATCGCCCGGCTCGTGCGCCGAATGGGCGCCGGTGGGCAGGGCGCGCCCACGCCAGGCTTCTTCTGGGCGCTGCTGCCCGAGTTCTGGGTGGAGCGGCTGGGCGACACGGAGCTCCACGGCGCCTGCGACACGGGGGCGGCGGGGGCGGGGGCGGCGGGGGCCGGCGGCGCCGCCGGTGGCGGCCGGGCGGAGCTCGCCGGGGGAGAGGTCACGCGCGTTCCGCTGCACACCAGCGAGCTCAGGTGCGAGAGGCGAGAGCCGGCGCTGGTAGGCCGGCGACACGCAACGCGTTGTGAATGGACGCACATATACACACACACGAGTGTGTATATGTGTGACAAATATACCGTACGTATATCAATCATATACACACGAGTGTGTATATGATTGATATACGTACGGTATATTTGTAGCTACGTTAAAGGGTTTTTTTTTTTTTTGGGGGGGGGGGGTGGAGGAGGAGCAGATCCCGTAAATATATACAGGGTTGCTTAAAAAAATGTTAACACGTATACGGGACTATCGTTTTTAATGGACAAATTAACGGATAATACACTGTAACGTGATAACAAATGTAATTTTTATTTAAAGCTTTCGTGACTGCGGGGATTCATATTTTTGGTTCTTTCGGTAAAGTCACGTGGAAGGGAAACAATAAAATAATAAAAAATATAATTGTTTTTTTATTGTTTTATATTTTTTTATTATTTTATCGTTTCCCTTCTACGTGACTTTACCGAAAGAACCAAGAATAACAAATGTAATTTTAATAGCTTCTAAATGTCAAAGAGTCTCCCCACTCGTTCGCCATCGTTGTCAACGCGTGGCCTGGAATCTTCTCCAGGTGGTCTCCAGAGCCCGGAGGCGGCGGCGGCGACACATTGTCACGCGGTGTTGTTGCGAATTCTCCGAAGTGTTAACATCTTTTTGAAGCGCCCCGTGTAAACGTCTCTCAACACGAATATAATTGAACAGCTTTCTCAGTCCACTGCCGGGTGACGTTCTCCCCCGTGCCACGTCAGCCCTGGGGATCGCTCCACCGCACTTGACCACACCACTCGGTGTGGTCATGGGTGGTGGGAGGGTCGGTGGTTGGTGGTGGCGTGGGTGGTGGGGGTTGGTGCGGGGGTGGTGGTGGGGGGTGTGGTGGTTGGAAGGTGGTAGTGGGGGTTGGTGGTGGTGGTGGGGGGTGTGGAGGTGGTGGGGGGGGGATAGTGGTGGGAGGTGTGGTGGTAGGGGGGGTTGTGGGGGGGGGTGGTGATGGGAGGTGTTGGGTGGGTGGTGGGGGGTCGTGGTGGGGGGGTGATGGTGGGGGGCTGGTGCCGGGGTAGTGGTGGGGGTGAGTGGTGTGGGGGTGATGTAGCGGGTTGGTACGGGAGTAGTCGTGTGGGTGGTGGTGGGGGTAGTGGTGGGGGTTGGTGGTGGGGGGTGGTGGGGGTGGTGGGGGGGTGGTGCGGGGGAGTGGTGGGGGTGGTGGTGGGGTGGTGGTGGGGGTTAGTGGTGGTGGGGGGGTGGTCGGGGGGGGGGTGCGGGGGTAGTGGGGGGTGGTGGGGGGTAGTGGGGGGTGGTGGGGGTGGTGGAGGGGTAGTGGGGGGGGGTAGTGGGGGGGGTGTTGGTGGTGGGGGAGGGGTGTGGGGGGTGTCCTGGACCAGTCCGGATATCGGTCGCCACAGGCTGCCCGTAATGAAACTCGGCGACCCACAAATTGTTCACCTCGCATCGCCTTCCCAGTCTATGAATATTAGTTTGTGTGTTTGTGTGTGCAGTCATCGGTGACCAGGGCTCAGACCATTCAAATGTTTTGTATTCGAGAGCCCATTTTAAGCCATTTGGTGATGGAATTCAAATCCAAGACCTCAGCCTTGCTGGCTCATTGCTCCGATACAACAAGCATTAGAATACCCCCCACTCCCACTCCCCCACACACACCCAGCTCCCCACACCTCAAGCCACACAAGCGCCTATTTATTTTCCTGTTTCAAATTCAGTTCGGTCCTGCTTTAGGGGGGGGGTGCGGGTGTGTGGAGAAGATAACATCAACCATGAGGCCGACTCCGACCGACAGATTGACAGGCAAGCAGCGCGGACCGCACGGCGTTGAACATCGGCATCCAGGAGCCAGCGGCGGATCCCGCTGAGTCAGAGGCGGGCGGCTGCTTTGCCGCTTAACCGCCGTGCGTGCCGTGCGTGCCCGCAACGTCGTGTCGACGTTGCGTGAAAAAATAACAATCGGAACATCACGAGGGGCGGGCGGGCGGGCGGGCGGTGCCGTCAACGGCAAACCGAAGCGAGCGGGCCGCCTAAAAATTATTCGTCCTCGGAGAAGTCCAATTAACGAGCGGTGAGAATTCATTATAACCTGGGCGCACCGCCGATCCGTCTCGCGCAACGTTGCGCCGAACGTTCTCGGATTCGTAGTCGGTATTTTGTTTTTGGGAGGGCTAGTTTGTCCACGCAGGGAATAACCGTAGCCCTCCACCACCCGACGGAGCCATACAAATGAGGTTTGTCACGCCGTGGACAAAGATACCGATTGACTTGATTTGTTTTTATTTCGTCAGCCGAACCGGAGGAATACTGAAAAGCGAGGGAACTGTTGACAAAGTATAACATCGGCACAAGTCCGCTTCCTTCTCAACATCACCCCCCCCCCCAAAACCCCCCCACCCGCCCCCCTCCTCCTGCGATTTGCCGAGGAAACAAATAAATTTTGACATTTGCCCCCTTCCGCGACGTGATTCGATTGGCTCCGTCCGGTGGTGTGAGGGTTTATATATATATGTAAAAATGTGTTCATATATAAAACAAAATTACGTTATACTCTGCACGACGGTGTAACCCAAGCGAAACTAATGCTGATCGTTAAAACATTAGTCGCGACAGCATTCGTGCGAAGTTGAACAGAGGCTCGCCCGGGCTCCTGCACCTGCTGAGATTTTAACTACAAACTACAAACACAACTATTTTTTTTTATATTTCACCAGGTAAGGCCCCGCTGAGCTTTACAGCTCTCTTTTTTCAGAAGCGACTTGGCTACCACAAATTATAGCGCGACGAAGTGGCGGCTTAACATCATCGTGCGGAAATTTATAGCAGCCAATTACTCCGAACGCTCGGTGATTTTTAATGTGGAGGGAAAAACCGGAGGACCCGGAGAAGAATCAACGCGACCACGACCTCCTGCAAACCAGGCGAGGGAGTTAACATCTTGCTGCAACGACATCCCAGTTTATAAAATTACTGCCGAGACGACAGAAGAGATACGGAGTTAAGTTCAGCACCTGGAGATGAAATATCACATATTCATACATCATATATGTCATCGCATAATAATCGTGTAACATAACATTTCCAAAAAATATGATGATAATTACGATAATATTGTTGTTATTATTATAGAGGTGAAATGTAGAACACATTGCCTCTTGTGCCAGGGCGACCCGGGCTAGGGCCGAGAGGCGAGAGACGCTGTTGGACGTAGCGAGGTGGCAGGAGAGAGATGCGGCCTGTGGAGAGACATGCGGGAGATTATTGGCTTTGCTAGCCGTGTTTATTCGTGCTTGAATTTGAGTGGATATTTGATGAACGTATATCGTTTAATAGGGAACCCGGGGCGGGGAGGGGGAGACGGAGGGGGAGGGGGGTTGGGTGGATGAGGGGGGGGGCCTTGAACGTATTGGGGCCCCAAGACTCCGGATTCTAAGACGATCCGGAAAGTAAGATGCCCCCTAAATTTGTGTGGCCGGTGTCAAGTCAACGAAGTTACACAAATCTGGACTCACGCAATGACAAAGGTCCCCCGTGTAGTCCTAACAGGATGTTGGGGCAAGTGCTGTCAACGAGTAGCAGCACCTATGAAGGCCGGCACAGCGTACGAGAGGGTGGTGGGGGGGGCCACCACCACGCCCGACCGCCTTTGTCTCCCCCAATAGCGATGTTTACGCACCTCACCAGGTGCTCATTTATCAGAATCTTTATTTCGACTCTTCATTCAAATCCAGCCTCAAGGCGCAAGTGTTATTTTTTTAGGGGCTTTTTCCATCTCTTTAAAAATTCGTTTCGCGATTTGATCTGCGTGCATTCCTATTGCTCCCCACCGCACCTTGCAAGCTCCACGTGAAAAATCACTTTTTTAATTTTTTTAGAACAGTGAATATTTGTTATCATCAATATTATAATTATCCCAAAAGTTTGCCGTACAATACACGCTTGCATCCCCGTGTCGCTTCGCATCTCCTACGAGCACGGTCGGCTACGTACGGCGCGAGAGAATGTCAGCATGCGCGCGTGCGTACGTACGCACGTTACAGTCTCGTTAGTTGCAGGGATCGCTGGAGGCTCCGTCGCCGGTGAAAGTTCCAAAAGGATTGCAAATGAGCATCTCGGAAGGGAACGTGTCCTCCGTTAGAAGGCAGCGTGACGGGCATCGAGGAGGTGCTAGGGGGGGGGGGGGGGTGGTGATTGGCTCGTGGCGCATCGACGTCCGGCCAGGTGGCTCAGCGGGGAGAGTGAGCGGCGTGCGCTCTTCAGAAGTGAATTTCCACCTCTGCTGGGAGCGTAGCTCGTCGTTTAGACGCTCCGTAATATGAATTTAAATATAATACTGGGTGGCCGAGTGGCTTAGAGGCCAGGAGAGCTGTCCGTGGCGAACCCAGATTCTCTGTTGCAGTGAGTTGATCGTCTCGACCCGGTCGACAAGTGGCTGTTGATAAAAAGTAATCCGTGAAAAAGTGTTTTTTTTTGTTATTATTTTAGCAGGATTTCATCTGAGAAATAAACAACCCATCGGCTCGTGACAATCACGTGGCAGAGTGTGGGAAGGGTGCGCCTCCTTCTGTGCAAGAGATGGAAAGAGCCGCGTGAAGAAGCATTTTTTTAATTTTATTTTTACACGTGCTCTCGTTTCGCTTCTCTGCGAGATTCTGTGACTCTTGTTCATCTCGGGGGACGCGATGTTGATGGCACGTTTCGGATATAAAAAAAAGAAAATCTCAAGCAGAAAATTCCCAACGCGCGCACACACACACATATATATAAAAGACAGAGAGAACACCGATTCAAAATTCACTCGGCTCCCAATTCTAAAAACGCTGTCATACAAATCAGCCGCAATTGCGCTGGCAGGAAAAACATGGTAAGGAGCCTGGGAGGGGGTTGAGGAGAGCGGGGGGTGGAAGGGAGTGGAGTGAGCCCAGCTGGTGGTGATGGGGAGGAGGGGGGGTGGGAAGAGTCGGAAATCGCTGGGCCTTTCCATCAACAAATATCCAAGGCTCGTGCGCGAGCACCAGGCAATGTACCTGCCAGCGTGTCGCCGTCGCCGCACGGACGACTCTGAGCGATGGCGACCAGCGGAGAGAGCAGGAGAACTGCGCAACGGGTGAGATTACTCATCATCAACAGCAGAGATATTAGTCGACCACAAGGCCCCCCCTCCCCATCCCCCAATAGATGTACGGCAGAGTGGGTGGAGGGTGGTGGTGGTGGTGGTGGCGGGGGGCGGGAAGGAGCGCGCTTCCAAGTCAAGTCTTTGAAATTCGCAATGTCCCGCAGTTAAATTACACAGGCGACGAACGGAGCATCAGATTTCCGAAGCTGAGATAAGGCACGCACGGAGAGGCAGGGGGCGGCGGCGGTGGTGGTTGCGGCGGCGGTGGTGGTGGTGCTGTGAAGAGCTCATGAATATGAGTCTTCGCACATTCGCATTTTAGACGGGGAATTTCCATTTAAATGAAATTGAGGAAGAAGGCCGCTCTTTAAAGTTTTTTTTCCCCATCCCACTTCTTTCTTCCCGTGCCCATCTCCTTCCCCCCTCCCAACAAGCCGGCCTCAAGGGCTCCCATTTAAAAAAAAACATTTGCCCCCCAGTGACTTCTACAGCAGCATCCAATTCTCTCCCCCCAGCCCCAGCCCCACCTGATGACCGAGATGACAACTGAAGCCCAGCGATATGTATATATATATAGATATATTACCACGCACATTAATCAAATGTGATCGTCCATTCGTCGATCGTTGAGGTTCGTTGAAGCGCTTTTCTCAACGACAACAAAAACTGGGGGGCGGGGCAGGGGGGTACTAGGGGGGGGGTTCACGTGGTTTTTGCGACACCGTGGCAAATCGTTTCCGTAATTTCCCAATTTTGCGATCGTCGTCATGATCGTCGTCATGACCGTCGTCAATTATTATCACGATTAATATTTTGTTATTGCCACGCCGACACGGAGAGAGAGAGGGGAGCCGACACGACACGGGGGGGGGGGGGGGGAGGAGGCTGTAAACCCGCGGCACCGCGCCAAACCGGAGCGCCCACCCCCCCGGTAGCGGGGGAGCGTGGACTTCGTCTCATCGAATCGGCCCCATCGGCCAACCTTCCTTCCTTCCTTGCTGCCTTCCTTCCTTCCTCGCTCTCGTCCTTTCGTCCTCCCTTCCATCCCAGCGATGCGAATCCGGCTACAGTTGGCACGCTCCCGCTCGAGATTCCGCCGACACGAAAAATTCAGTCGCGGTCGCCGGGACCGACGCCGCATTCTCTCGTTTCGAGATGCGGGTCATGACACCGTCGCCGCCAGAGTCACTTCGTGGCCCTTCGCCGTAGCTGGGCGCAGCGAGTCGACCGATCGGGGGGGGGGGGGGGAGAGGGGGGGCGGGAGGGCCGCGTTTCCAAAATAAATCGCTCAAGGCCGCATTTACGCCGGTGAAAGAAAAATAAAAGGGGGGAGAGGGGGGCGGGGGGGCTCGTCCGACCGGCTTCGGCGTCCGCGCATCCCGTGTTGCGTGCACGTCCACCCGTCCACCTTGTTATTCCAGCAGCTAAAGCAAAGCTGCAACGTAAAACTCGCACCACCTTTCGAGGCGATGGCGCCGTGCGGACTCCAGCAGCCGTTTGGCGCGGACGCGCACCGGAGTCCTCGGATCCGAGGCTGGAGAGTGGCTCGGACGGGCGACCGCCGTCTGTAAGCCGATCGCCGCCGCCCGCGTCGCCTGCACGTGGCGGGCACCGGGGGGCACGGCGCCACCGCAGCAAATTCCGCACCGCTCGCACCGTGCCACAGCTCCCCCACGCAGTCGACGCTCCCCGGCCTCTCTGTGAGCCGCGTCGACATCAGAAGCCCCCCCCCCTCCCCCAATATACCCGTCTCGCCGAATGAATTCCACGCCGCTTGCCGCAGGTCGTGGCTCGAGACGGTGCTGCCGGCCCTGGTGGTCTCAACGCTGCTGCTCGTCGGCGGCGTCGTCGCCGCCGCCGCCCAGCACCGCCGCTGCTGCCCGCGGTGGCGGTGGCGGCGGCGGAGCCGGCGCACGGACCGCGTCCGCCCGGCCGCCCCGCGCCGCGTCGTCCGCTGGGACCTCGCCATCAACCGGCGCGTGCTGGCGCCGCGCAAGGCCGCGCTGCTGCCCCGCGAGCCACGGTCCCCGCCGCTCCTCCGCGCCGCGACCAACCCCGGCTTCCTCCCGCCGCCGTCGCCGCCGCCGCCGCCGCCCCGGTACCAGTTACCGCCGGCGTACGGCCGGTCGAGGGCGACGAGCATCTTCGCGGTGCTCGACGGCGGCTGCAGCTGACGTCCTCCGCTGGGGAGACGCCGGCGGTGCCGCGGAGGAGAGAGAGGAGACGCCGGCGTCGGGGTGGATGCCGCGGGTGGAGGAGAGAGAAGAGATTGCCGGCGCTGGGGTGGAGGAGAGAGAGAGGAGGCGCCTGGCTGACGGTGCCCGGGCCGACGCGACGCGCCGGCAAAACGGGACGCGAGGTGGCGGTGAATCAGGTCCACGGATTCTGGTCGACATTCTCGATCAACGGACACCGGGTTCAGTGAGACACCGCCCCGGCCGATATTCCTGGCCAACCAGAACAGCGGGTCAACGGATAGCACATTTTAACACACCACCTCCGACTTGAGTCCTCCGCATCTCCGATTTAACACGGTTGTCTAACGTACGGTGCGAAAAAAGTCCAAGAGACATGTACATACATACACACACACACGTGTACATACATACATACATGTACGTTGAAGTTTTTTTTTTTTAGCGCACCGTACGTAGCCAACCGTGCTAGGCGGAGGTGCGGGGTAAGGACAACAAACTAAGCGCACGAAGCATCTCTCCGGAAATGAGTTTTACATCTGTGAACAAGTGAGTTACTGACGAGGTGACGCGAGGCCTACGGGACACGGGGCTGACGGTCCATGCCAGGGGGGTTTGGCAACCTGTCTCAAGAAGAAGAGTCATACTCGTTGGTTTGTTCCGGTAAAGTCACGTAGAACGAAAATAAATGAAATGATAGAATGCGACGTTTTCGATTGCAGCGCAAGCAACCGTCATCGGCTAGGCAGAGCCACAATTTTGTTTGAGTTATTTTTTGTCCCTCTTTGACCAAAAAAATGTTCAGGAGCCGCGTCTCGCACGCGCGCAAACCTCTTCTAGACGGGCGCAAAAGCGGCGGCAGGAAATAAAACTAATTTGGCGATGTAATAAACTCCCCCCTATTTATAAGAGGTTTTTTTTTGTTTGTTTTTGTTTGGGTTAGATCGCGTAAATGTAAAGATGTGTCGTTGAAAAACCCGCCACCGCCCGACACGGCCATCTAGTGAGGGTTGTCACGTAAACAGAACGTGGCCAATTCGTCACTAGTACAGCAACACCGGTGTGTTGGAGAGCCAAGCCACAACATTTACAATCTGAGTACGACGTTTCGCCAGTAATTACAACCGGCTTCATCAGGCGACAGCCACATTTGTGGAGAAGTCCAGTTGTTTCGTTCCTTTTTAGAGGCGTAGCTGTGGTGACCACGCTTCTGCGCTTTTGCACAAAGTGGGGGGTGTAGTAATGAGCCTACGTGTTAAATCCCTCCATTGGGTTTAGTCCCCTCTCTAGTGAATTCCTCAATGATACATCTGGGCCGCCGTACATTTTGTCGTCGCCAAGGCATGCCACGGTGACCGCATACACCCCTTGCCATATTCAATCAATTATATTCACGTTAAATATATATAAAAGAAAATAACCCGCTGCCCCGCTGGGGATGCAGCCAAAGAGCCGCACGTGACTCGGGAGCCCGCAGGTTGCCGAGCCGAACACCCCCCCCCCACCCACCCCCCTGGACTCCAGGCCAACAACGGGACGCCGTGCCCGGCGAGACACCGCGATGCACCACCGGCGGTGACTGCGGGGCAAGACGCGGGCACTGCGGCGGGAGCGGCGCCACGGGAGCCCACTCGGAGTAAAATTAAAATCCGCACAGAGAAGGACGCGGGAGGGAGGGGGCGGGTGTGGGTGGGGTGGGGTGGAGTGGCCGCGTGGATGATCTCTGTCACGTGAAGGGACGCGCGATGGCAAAAAAAGCGTCAAGTCGAGAAGCCGACGTTACGGAAGGCAGGCGATTTAACATTCGGCCGGGGGAGCGGTGGGCAGGGGGTTGCGGGGTGAGGGAGGCGAGGGAGACGGGTGGGTGGGGGAAGAACAAGATGAGGACACGAGAGAGAGCGAGCGAGCGAGCGAGAGAAAGAGAGAGATAGAGATATCATCCGCGAAGGATTAAGCACCGCCGCTAACAACGCTCAGAGGCGGCGAGGGCGAGCGGTGTCTCCGTCAAATCAATGCTTCAATTAGGGCACCGGGGGACGACCGCGGGCCCAGTGGCGATCCTGGAGGGAAGAGGATGGTAGCTGGCTGCCTTTGATTAAGCAATCTCCGGGCCACGGAGTGCCAACAGCAGACCCCCCCCCCCCCCCCATTCGTATGAGTGCAGTAGCACTCATTTATCTCTCCCCTTCTGTCTTTCTATCTCCCTTTTGCCACTGGTCAAGGTGACCCGGGGGGGGGGGCAGAGAGAAGCGGGGGGGGGGGCCACGACGGAATCAAAGCACAATTTTCGAACATCCTCAAATCAGCGGCGCGGCTCCACTCCCCGAGGGGGGTGTGGGGGGGATGGGTTGGGGTTCAAATGGGGTCGCGTTGTGTGCGGCGATAGGGCGGCGTTATAAACGGCGGGTGGGGAGAGGACGAAGAGGGGGGGGGGGTTGAGGGGAGGGGGCGTGGGGAGGGGGGGGGGGGCGCGCGCCACGACTGTGCCCACGCGGTGTTTACCGAGTGGCCAGGCCAGTATTGCTTTGTGCGGTATTCAATGGTTTGTCTGTGTCTCTGTGTGTGTGTGGGTGGGGTGAGATGCGGGGTTGTTTTTTTTTTAAAACGTTAAGTGTTATTTACAACAACAACAAAAACATATTGCAGGTGCAATGTCTCGAGCCAACGTGTGCGTGTTTGTGGGGAGCGGTAGTGTGGCGGTTAGCACTACGCTGCGCTACTGACCTGGCGACCCGAGTTCGATTCCCGCTCACGGCCAACACCAGTGACGATTATTTGAACCGGTCCCGGGCATCCCCTAGAGAACTTGGCGCAGTGTGTAAACATCGCCACTGGGGAGACAAAGGCGGTCGGGCGTGGTGCTGGCCACCCATTCCATCGTGTGCCGTGCCGGCCTTCATAGGTGCTCGCTAACAGCACTTGCCCCAACAGTCTGTTCGAGGCTATACGGGGGATCCTTGTCTTTGTGTTTGCGTGTGTACGCGCCCGCCGATGCGATCGTGGCTTTGGTTGCACCTCCGATTAGCACGGTGGGGCTACGTACGGTGTGAAAGAAGTTCGACGTACACACACACACACACGAATGTGCGGGGAGGGGAGGGACAATCCCCTTCACGGTTTCGGAAGCTCAGCGGGTCTCAGCCTGGGTGACCTGCCGTGGTTCCAGGTGGTTACAGGCGGCGACTGCTGCTGCTGCGGTGGACAACGGCGGTGATGGGAAGCAGCATGGGGGGGGGGGGAGTGCAGAACAACCCACCGTTGTACTATACTTCTATTCGCCCAAGTCTCTGCTGCCCCTCTCACGCCTTCACCAAACCGCACGGCGTTCAGGGAAGGAAGGTTGGCGGGGGGGGGGAGGGGGGCGGCCTCATCCAGCAGTGGATCTGTTAAACGTCGGTACGCGTACACACGTGGGATAGCGACGGTGTTTAATTATTTTTTTGAGTATTCGCTAAAGCCTCTTGTTTTCTCTTTAACGCTCGGCCTGAGCGTCCTTGAGACGAATCTGTGAGAGCCGGGGGGGTGGGGGCGGTGGTGGTGGAGGAGGAGGAGGAGTGGGGGGGGGGGTGGAGGTGTGAAGCCGTGCGACCCGTGGCCAAGACGAGAAGAAACCGGCGATGACAGCCACCGTCACGCCATACTTGACGGCCCTGGCTGGCTGGGCGGGCCACCCGGGGGGGTGAATCGGTGGGTGGGTGGGTGGCGGGGGTGGATGGGTGGGTGGCGGGGGTGAAAGGTTTCGCACAACTTGGGCGGCTCAAGGATAAAGAGCCCAGGTCGCTTCATCACAATCACCGCCGCCGTCCTCATCGCTACCCCCGGATTGTTCGTGATCCACTCGAGATGAACGAACACACCCCCCCCACCCTTCCCAACCTCCGCACCCCCCTCCCCCCACCACCACTACGACCACGGCCACCTCTAAACACCAAGGTCCCCACTACCAGGCGGAGCGAACGCGCTCCGTCTCCGCTTTGATCGTCCTCGCGACGGAGCTCCAATCGCTCTCGCGGCCACCACCACAACCACCACCACCACAACCACCGTCACCAATATCCGTCGATCGACCGTAAGTGACGCTGACCTCACCACGGCGCCAGGTGCACTTTGAGGCCACGTGAAGTGTCGATGGCGAAGCCGACGGGGAGGTCACGAGACGGACTCAGGTTCAGGTGCCACGGGTTGACTTACTTGAGATGATTGTCAGATGCGGAGGCTGTCACCACCACCACGACCCACGACCACCACCGCCAGCACCACGCGTCGATCACGGCGCACGAACGTTCGTGCCGTGTCCTGCCGAGCCATTCTCGGGACAGCTGAAGCTGGAAGAATGGTTCACGCAGCCGCGCGTTATTTCTTTGTTAACAACAACAACAAAACAGAACCGGAGAGCGTTGAATTACGGGGAGGGCAGTCAACCCACACGGAGCGTCCCCGTCTCCAGCTCTCTGTGTGTGTGTCGCTCGCCAGCGCGTCCACTCGCAGCCCGGCGGAGTGAGGAACAGTGGGGACATCCTGGACTGGAAAATTGGAACTGCGTGCATGCGCGCACGCGCAGGGATTACGTGAAATTTGAAACAAAAGCTCCACTTTCGGGGCGATTCAGCTTATTTAATTTTTTTTAAAAATAATAAGTATAAAGTTAATGCGTTGAAGTGCGGTCGACGGTACGTGGCGTTGGTTTAAAAACTTGATAGCGTAGTAGGAATCTGTCGACGAAAGACGACGATTGTTAATTCGGTGCGTCGGCTTTCACAACAAGTGTCACGATTCTAAATTAAGTTTATTTTGGCGTTGAACGTCGTCCCAGTTCTAGGTGTCAATCTCTGACGATAGCGAGCCACCTCCCGACGGGTGGCGATCAAATAAATGCGTGAAGTCTTGGGGCGGGGCAAGGAATATGCCACGTGGTTTTTAATGTTTAGACAACAACAAAACTCGAGGAACGTTGAAAAGCAAAGCACGTGGCTTTTGTT